ACTGCACTACCAGGAGTGCAGATACACCCTTGGAAAACCGGAAACTCACAATTTCTATGATATTTTAAGGTCTTAACTAGTCTTATTTCTCCAAAACACATGGTGACTGAAATCCTTGTAAATGTGTACCTTTCCAAGACAAAGTATGTTTTGTGTTGCTAAACGGTTTGGGCCCCGCCTATCTTCGCAACTGCATCTCCGTCTATGAACTGGTGCGAACTTTAAGATCTTCCGGGGAGGCCCTCCTCTCACTTCCACCACCGCCACAAGCATGGTTGTTGGGGATGAGAGAAAGGGCCTTCTCGATGGTGGCCCCCCACCTCTGAAAAGCCCTTCCAAGGGAAATAAGACAAGCCCCACCCCTCCCCTCTTTCATAAGAGCCTGAAGACCTGGTGGTTTCAACAAATCTTTGAGGGTGACCATAGAATCATAGAATCATAGACTCAAAGAGTTGGAAGAGACCTCATGGGCCATCCAGTCCAACCCCCTGCCAAGAAGCAGGAATATTGCATTCAAATCACCCCTGACAGATGGCCATCCAGCCTCTGTTTAAAAGCTTCCAAAGAAGGAGCCTCCACCACACTCCGGGGCAGAGAGTTCCACTGCTGAACGGCTCTCACAGTCAGGAAGTTCTTCCTCATGTTCAGATGGAATCTCTTGTAGTTTGAAGCCATTGTTCCGCATCCTAGTCTCCAGGGAAGCAGAAAACAAGCTTGCTCCCTCCTCCCTGTGGCTTCCTCTCACATATTTATACATGGCTATCATATCTCCTCTCAGCCTTCTCTTCTTCAGGCTAAACATGCCCAGCTCCTTAAGCCGCCCCTCATAGGGCTTGTTCTCCAGACCCTTGATCATTTTAGTTGCCCTCCTCTGGACACATTCCAGCTTGTCACTATCTCTCTTGAATTGTGGTGTCCAGTGCTAGCCCAGCTCAGACATTGTCGGATACAGCCTTGCACTTCCTATTTATTACCCTGGTCATTCTTCTAACAGGACCCTGGAAATGAGCAGCCACAGGCCCATTCCCACTATTGTTCTTAGTCTTTTATAGTATTGTACCTAAATTCCAGGCCCATCTTATTTTGATTTTCTACCAGTCTTGCCTTTTTAATTGTTCTGACCCATTCCTTCCCATGCCCTAACAAATAAAAAAGGCATGGAAACCAGGCAGGATTTCTTTAAAAAAATGTGTTACTGGGATAATTTTATGCTTATATTGTTAGTATTGTTATTTTGCCTATGTGTTGATTCTGTATGTGCTGGTGTTGATACTTGGAAACTGCCCTGAGTCCCTTTGGGGAGATAGAGCATTATATAAATAAAGTTTGTATTATTATTATTATTATTATTATTATTATTATTATTATTATTAGTAGTAGTAGTAGTAGTATTATCAGTCTTGGGAAGTATGGAATCAATACTATGGGTGATAATACTGATGTTATCTAAATTCCACTCATCCTCACTATGATTCGCTACTTCAGCTTACAAGAAATCAAATAGGGGTTCTCAAACTGAACATATTTGCTTCAAACCCTTAAAGCACTTCTACTCATATTATTAATTGTGCCAAAGCTGTGTCACTCTACTTAACTGAATGGTCCCAGCTGCTTTCTTTCATTTACTTGAGCTCAGAGCAGTCTCTTTTTGAAGTCAATCAACTGTGTCCCAAAATTAAAAACAGATTAGCAACTAGGAAAAGACAGTGTTGCTTCATCTCATGTCATGTCTTGATTCCAAAATGATCCATTATATACTTAAGTATTGCAGAGTCACTAACTGGATTCTTTATTAATTAAATGAGAAGATGTTGGATGGGCATTTTAAGTATCTCAGTGAAATTGGCATTCTTCCTGCCAGGTACCATGGGGATATTCTGACAATTGTATTTACACTGATGGCATATGTTTCGCTTTATCTCTGAATTACAGTGTTTTGGTACAGCCTTTAGTAAAAATGCAAATAACGGGATAGAAATTTAGTTGCACTTTGGAGATTTTATACCCAGAGACATAGTGGGAGGGAAGTGTCAGCTAGAAAACCTTGAAAAGATGAGAATCTTGCAATGTTTTTGACCTGCATTACAGCACCCTATCTGTACCAGCAGCTATTGAATTTCCATGTCTTAAACTCCATCTCTCTTATGCCCCAGACTTGTTGATCTATAAAGATTTGTACAAATCTCTGAAATGTCACCTTGAGATAAAAATCCAAACGTTGCAGGCAACATTATCCTCTTAAGAAGGCTGGTGAAATATCCAGGAGGAAAGCAATTTTCAAGACAAGGCTCCCGACTGCCAAGAGACAGCTAGAGCTGCTATTTATCCCTGCCGCTGGCATTGATAATTTGGACTGCTATCCCTGAATAAAGCTATTTACAGAAAGGCCAAGCATGGCCTTTGGAATTACATACATTTGTAGCATGATTTGTCCCTGATCTGCACAATCCCTTTGCTGAGAGTTGTAGAAGCAAATTCCATGAAAAGTGGAAAACCAAGGAGGGAAAAATCAAAATGCAGCAATTATGGATGAAATGTAACAACAAAGGAAACAAACCTCAGAATTCTATGATGCACATATACACACACTATGTCTGTTTGAGGCAAGTGTGAATGTTGCAGTTGTTGTGGTTCAGTCTGAGTCTGAGCTTTCTGAGCCTGAGTTTCCTCAGGATGAGGAGGATGATGGGTTTCAGATTTCTGAACATGTTCTGGTTAGTGAGACAAATGAACCAGACAGTGTTGATTCTGAAGAAGAGATGGCATTTCTGTTCCCCAGAGAAAGGAATTTGGTTTTAGATAAAGATAGTGAAACTTTGGAGCTCCAGGTGGAGGCTCCTTCTGGGAGTTCAGGGTCTTTTGGTTCCCAGGGTGACCAGGCCCAACAGGGCACAGATAATGAGCTATCTGGCCTTGAAGATAGTGGAGACTTGATTAGATAGGACCATTTACAATTAAGAGTTCACAGAAGCCTTGCCAACAAACATGAGGCTAGAGGTCAACATAATGCTTTCATGTTGGGAGAGCATTTAATGAGCTGATTGAAGGGCATTCTTTGTCAGTCCAATGTTGCTTTTACCGTCTTAACTTCTGTGGAATTATCTTGGCTTTTGTGGAAAGCTTCTGAGAGGGCCTTCTCAGTGGTGGCCCCCCGGCTTTGGAATGCTCTCCCCAGGGAGATTAGGCAGCCCACCACACTGTCCTCCTTCCGTAGGGATCTGAAGACTTGGATGTTTAAACAAGCCTTTGAGAGCGTTTAGCCCCAATGGCCGGCAATCAGTGATATAGCACTGTTCTTCATTCCATATCCTTCTTCCTTAGCTACAATTTGCACTATCCCATTTGCACTATCCCATTCCCTTGTCTTGTTTACAGTCTGGCCATGTCTTATGGTAGTTGTCACCATAGGCTAATGGGCGTTGTTCTGAGTTTTAAATTGTTGTTTTTATACACTATATGTTTTACTTTACTGTATTGTATTTTTTATGCTTTGTTTGAGGCACTTTGTGCCACATGTAAGCCACTCGAGTCCCTTCGTGGAGATGGAGGCGGGATACAAGAATAAAGTTATTATTTATAATTAAAGCCTCGCTGTTTCTTGCTTGTCTCAAACAGACAAGAGTTCTTTCTCCTACCCTGGATATTCCACACACACACACACACACACACACACACACACACACACACACACATATCAACCTCACATGTCTAGTTTCCAACAAACCTCACAACCTCTGAGGATGCCTGCCATAGATGTGGGTGAAACATCAGGAGAGAATACTTTCGGAACATGGCCATACAACCCGGAAAACTCACAACCCAGTGATTCCAGCCATGAAACACTTTGACAACACAATAGCATTAGTATTTGAGCAAAATATTATTAAAATGCATTTTCCCCAGCTTATCCCAGATATTAGGAACAACACTTGCCATTCACACCTAAAAGATATCAAATTCCAAAATAACCTGAGAGTTTTCATTCCCCCTTACCTGAATCCCCAAATGCACTTTCTTCTTTACAATCCTTTGAATTCTATTTTTCCTAGGGTTTTTCTTGCCTGCCTAACAATAGAACTATATAATATAATAATAATAACACTTGATTTATATTCCACCCTATCTCCCTAAGGGGACTCAGGGTGGATCACAGTACACATACATGGCAAACATTCAATGCTATTTTGGATAGATAGGACAGAGACAGAACAAAAAGGAGGTATGTTGGGTTGACATCCAGCTTTTTGGTGCCTTGGAAGTTGTGCTCGAATCCAGCCACAGGGGGGTGCTGTCGCTCCATCCTCTATCTCAAAGAGCCATTAGGACTTTCCTCTTCCTTTTGGTCACTGGACATTTTCTGATCTTTTTCTTGATGGTGTCGTAAAATACCTCCCCGACTTGTTTTAGAAGTACCTAATGTGCTTATAGCTCAAACTGTTTTTCAAACTGCTTAGGTAAACAGTAAGCTGGGCAGTCGGGAGCTCAAATCGATCTGGGGCTTTGAACTGGCAACCTTTCGGTTGGTACATTTTATCATTGCTGGTGATTTACCAGTTGTGCTAAAGCCCAGCCCATATATGTGGCATTACCTCCAGTCTTAATTGTTTCTTCTGTTAACATAGCAGGTCTCCTATTTTATTAAAACTGAGGAAGAGGAAACTAACTAATTCTGACAAGTTTTAACATTGGAAAATCTAGCAAAGTAAGCAAAATCGATGCATTAATTAAGATATTCGTTGCAAGCTCTTAGCCAATGGCAGTGAGGGATTCTTCTTGTTCTTTGTGTCATTAGGGCACTTCAGCCAATCATCACAACCCACCTCATTATCTCCACAACCTCATCCCATTTGCACATTACCATATAAATTGAAATAAAACAGTAGAAATGACCATGTGGAGGTTAAACTAATATCAGGATTGAGCGCGTGCAAAATGCCAGGCTTGTCAACTTGACTGTTTCTTAAATCCCCATTCAACCTCTCCCAGGGCTGTGAAATTACCTCGTCGAAGTCGGCAATGATCTCATTCAGCAGACGCAGGCACTCAACACCTTGATTGTTCATTTCGGTTTGGGAGTAAAAGTCAGCAAAGCCAGGGATGGAAGCAAACATGACGCCGACGGCATCGTAGGATTGAGAATACAGATCCTAGGGATTCAGAGAAGAGGATGAGAAAATAAGGGGGGAAATGCAACCCCGAGTGACATAGTTTATATGTGACGAACTGCAATGACAATTGCGATTTTAAGAGCGTGGAAAACTTAGATTTTTGGATCACAGTTTCTACTGGCCATGCTGTTTTATGGGGTTTCTGGAATTATGCATCATAGACACAGTATTTGAATCTCTGCATTTTCTGCAGTTAACATTCCACAGCTCCATTTTACAAGAAGAACAAAGCATATCTTTTGAACAGTGGGTTATGAATTAACCCTGTGAACCAGTAGTTCCTAACTTATAGTTCTCCATGTTTTTGGGACTTCAACTTCCAGAAGCTCCAGCCAGTTGGTCAGCTATCAGAAATGACGAGTGCTGAATTTAAAAAATACCTGGATGGCCAAAGATTGGGAACCACTGCTCTAAAGTATAAACTACCTGTTATATCTGCAACTGAATGTATGTATTTATTTATTTACAGTATTTATATTCCTCCCTTCTCACCCCCCAGGGGACTCAGGGCAGATTACAATATACATATACATGGCAAACATTCAATGCCATAGACACACAACATATATAGACAGACACARAGAGGCTACTTAACATTCRAGCTTTTTGATGAGGGTATTCTGGCCACCAGGGGAGCTATCGCTTCACTGTCCATTTGTGGCACTGACGAAGTACTTCCTCATTCTTGAAACACTCCAAAACAACAAATCTTTACTAATCTCTCTGAAACGTTTTGGAGGCTTCTGTTTCGTAATGCTTTGGAAGGGTCCTGTTCTGAATAGTAATTCAGAGATTTGCATTAACAAATCATACAAATCTCTGATTTACAATATGGACCCTCAAAGCTTTGCAAAGCCCTACAACCTATCATTCTATCTATTGCTCTATTTCTCTATCTATATCAGGCATGGGCAAACTTCAGCCCTCCAGGCATTTTGGACTTCAACTTTCACAATTCCTAACAGCCGGTAGGATGTTAGGAATTGTGGAAGTTGAACTCCAAAACACCTGGAGGGCCAAGATTTGCCCATGCCTGGTCTATATCATCTTCCCATCACCATCTCTGTAATCAGTTGTATGGGTGGACCCATACAATAGGTATATATTGGTATAAGAAATAAATACATGTGCTATAATTCCTCCCCTTGTACAATCTCTTCTGACAGTTTCTGGTTTTGACCAGGAAACACTGCTAATGAAACATCACCAACTTTTTTGCTCAATTCCCTGGAGAATAGTAAGATTAACATTTACTGCATTAAGATATGAATGAGTTAGACAGCTGATTCACAGATACTTTTCCACAGATACTATGATAACTCATGAGAGCACGAAAGAAGGATTACTGGGTGAGATCACAGAGCAGGCATGAGCATACTTTGGCCCTCCAGGTGTTTTGGATTTTGCTGTTGTTTATTCGTTCGGTCGCTTCTGACTCTTGGTGACCTCATGGACCAGCTCATGTCAGAGCTCCCTGTCAGCTGTGGCCACCCCCAGCTCCTTCAGAGTCAATCCATCCATCCATCTTGCTCTTGGTCAGCTCCTCTTCCTTTTTCCTTCCATTTTCCCAAGCATCATTATCTTCTCTAAGCTTTCCTGTCTTCTCGTGATGTGGCCAAAGTACTTCATCTTTGCCTCTAATATCCTTCCCTCCAACGAGCAGTCAGGCTTTATTTCCTGAAGTATGGACTGGTTGGATCTTCTTGCGATCCAAAGCACTATCAGAATTTTCCTCCAACACCACAATTCAAAAGCATTTATCTTCCTTCTCTCAGTCTTCCTTATGGTCCAGCTCTCACATCCATAGGTGACTACAGGGAATACTATTGCTTTAACTATGCGGATCTTCATTGCCAATGTGATGTCTCTACTCTTCACTATTTTATCGAGATTGGTCATTCTTCTGATTTCCTGGCTGCAGTCTGGTTTCTTCTGATTTCTTCTTCTGCTTCTGATTTCCTGGCTGCAGTCTGGTTTCTTCTGATTTCTTCTTCTGCTTCTGATTTCCTGGCTGCAGTTTTGGACTTTAACTCCCATAATTCCTAACAGCCAGAATTATTAACTCCCATAATTCCCAACAGCTGGTAGACTGTTAGGAATTGTGGAAGTTGAAGTCCAAAACACCCGGAGGGCCGGTTTGCCCATGCCTGTCATAGAGAGTATCTTACAATTGCAATTGTAAATTGCAAACTAGGCACAAGTTACCTGCAACTAGAACAGAATCATAAAGCATTGGCTGGAAGGGACCAAAAGATTATCAACATCTTGGTACTCTTGTGCCCAAGGAGGATTTCCCAACGGCTATCCTTTCATGAGTCAAGTGCATTGCAAGCCAAGTGAGGAAAGCCATAAGAGAAGCTGTGGCCATTCAAGAGGATTCCTCCTTAGGAAATAGCCATTCATAGATCAAATCAGAAGCAAGCATTACATACTTCATTGTCTCGGTCTTTCTCCAAGAAGTGGCGGGCAACATGACTTGGGAGGATATTGCGTAGCATGTTCTCATTGTGCTCTCTTAATTCCTTCATTTCATTGATCTCTTCTTTGGCCTGGCCGCGCCATAGGAAGTCTAGCCTTGCTGTGTATTCAAGCTGCAGGGAAGAGGAGAGAAGAGCAGGGCAGAGGGGAAAAATAATTGATATCAATTCGGTTACAAGTTAGATTTCGTATTTCTTTGTGTGAATTAAAATAAAAACAAACAAACCCCAAACCCATCTATCGAATGAATTATACGGCATTTTCTTAGAAGAGTGAGAAATCCAATATACTGATGGTTAACCTGAGTCTGGGTTCATGTATACATTTTGTATTTTGTGACCTAAATAAGAACTGCATTGTACTCCCAGTGGGAACAACCACTGGGATTGCTTTTTTAAAAAAAATCAAACTACATCTTGCATGCCATCAAATGATTATATCACAACATCCCATGCCAGTCTTGAAATGCATAGCTCTTTAAACAAGATTATTTGTTATTTTTTCTGCATGGAACAAATCATCATTGGAGGCTTAAGAGTTGGGTTTTGTTTTAATTTCACGTGCCTCTGCTTTCACGTGCCTCTGAAAACCACAATACAATCATATTATTTAAAGAGATTATTCTATCAGGTTCAGAGGCCGCTTTTTTCACATTACGTCTTTATCCTAAAAAGTACTTGATATTTAACAACAAAAAGAGAATTAATTGAGCTTATTGTTGTTAATGATTTGAGGCTTAACAGACCTCATTCTGCAAACACATTGGCAACACAAGAGGTGCATCTAGAGACCTTTTATTATGCATTAATAATCTTGTTTATTTTAGACTTTCTCAAGACAAATTCAGTTCAAAAGCTTCCTTTTTAAGGATTACAGTTGTGCAATTATCGCAAACAAAATTTACTTGGTGCCATAATAAATTGATAGCAGATTGCATCTTTTATATTTACTTGCTCCTATAAAGTTCAGACTACAATCCAGAGCAGATTCATAAGACTCACAAACTGCTCTCAATGCATTCCACTAAGACTAATTTTTCTCCTGTGGGAACAATCAGAATTCATTCATATCAGAAGGGCTAATTACCCTGAAGGCTGCCAAAGAATATATATCAGAGGAATGCAATGGCAAATCTCTTCTGAATATTCCTTGCCTCAGAAACCAGGGCCCCCTGGGAGCCCAGTGGGTTAAACAGCTGTGCTGCTGAACTTGCTGACTGAAAGGTTGGCGGTTCAAATCTGGGAAGCGGGGTGAGCTCCCCCTGTTAGCCCCAGCTTCTGCCAACCTAGCAGTTTGAAAACATGCAATAGGTACCACTCCTGGGGGAAGGTAATGGCACTCCATGCAATCATGCTGGCTACATGACCTTGGAGGTGTCTACAGACAACGCCGGCTCTTTGGCTTAGAAATGGAGATGACCACCACCCTCAGAGTCAGACATGACTAGACTTAATATCAGGAGAAACCTTTACCTTTACGTAAGAAACTCTATGAAATTACTAGTGTCGCCATCAATCAACAGGCACATACACACACAAAGGAAGAGCAAAATGTGGACAGCCATAATGTAAGCTTGGTAAATAACAGACAAACTTTTCAGTTAACAGTTGAAGATGCAACTGTAGTTATTTCCAGCTTTTAGTGAGAACATGGCATAAAATATGAATGCAACTTAAAGGTTTGCTTTACCTGCTGGCCATGATAAAAGACAGCTAGCAAAAACATGCCCATAAGGAGCAGAGAGGCCTCCTTAGTCCCCAGGAAGTCTGTGCTGGAAAGAGAAAAAGGAGAGGGAAAAAATGGAAAAACACAGGTATGAATAACCATTGATTTTTGATCTGTTTATGGAAATTGATGACTTGGCAGAGTATTTTTTGTATTCATAATAAATAAATAAATAAAGGCAAATGTTTATTGGCCAGAATTCAGACTGGGAAATCCACACACATAAATGCCCTTATATGTGCTGCCATGCTTCTTTGGCTACTACAAGGCTGGTATTCCCATCTTCTCAATGGAGCACCCAAAGTCCTCATCTTGACATACTTTGAAGCCTCAAAGCTACCTCATAAAGGCATGCCATGCTTTAAAGTGAACAGGCATGATGAGAGAAACATCTGATGATCCTCCTCTCCAAAGATCCATGGGGCTTTGATATACCCACTGAAGCAAGACCTCCCCATTAGACAACAAGAGTCCATTTTTAATTTTTTAAAGGCTAGGATTGATTTGATGATGCCTTTAATTGTGTGTGTTATTGGTTAGATGCATTTTGCAAGGATCACAGAAAAGCTGAGACATCTGCAGGATCCTAAAGGATCTCTGCACTGTTGTCACTATTGTATGTCCAGCAATTGGTGTGGGAGTGTGAGTGTGTGTAGTCAAACCTTCTCTGATCCTATCCGCTTACACTGAAGCATGACTTTATATGCCTGCCTTGTGGCACAGGATTTAAGGCAGATTGCATCTTTCTTGACTATTGATTGTGCAGGTTGCTGCTGTTGGGGAGTGACAGTCCAAAAGCATCTGAATGGCAATGTTTGCAGTAATAACGTGTATCAATTATAATATTAATTTCTTTGCTACTGGGTAAGTTTGAAGTTTAGCTTCAAAGGAGAAAGGGGATTGTTTAGGGCAGTGCATCTCAACCTGGGGGTTGGGACCCCTGGTCGTGAGGGGATGTCAGAGGGGTCACCAAAGACCATCAGAAACAGTATTTTCTGTTGGTCATGGGGGTTCTGTGTGGGAAGTTTGGCCCAATCCTTGGTACTCTTTGATTGTAGGGAACTATAAATCCCAGTAACTATAACTCCCAAGTGCCAAGGTCTATTTTCCCCAAACTCCATCAGTTTTCACATTCGGGCATATTGAATATACATGCCAAGTTTGATCCAGATCCATCATTGTTTGAATCCACAGTGCTCTCTGAATATAGGTAAACTACAACTCCAAAACTCAAGGTCAATGCCCAACAAATCCTTTCAGTATTTTCTGTTGGTCACGGGAGTTCTGTGTGCCAAGTTTGGTTCCTTTCCTTCGTTGGTAGAGTTCAGAATGTTATAAATACCAGCAATTACAACTCCCAAATGACAAAATCAGCCCCCCCCCCAAACCCCACCAGTATCCAAATGTGGGCATACCGGGTATTTATGCCAAATTTGGTCCAGTGAATGAAAATATATCCTGCATATCAGATATTTACATTATGATTCATAATAGTAGCAAAATTACAGTTACGAAGTAGCAATGAAAATAATTTTATGGTTGGGGGTCACCACCACATGGCGAACTATATTAAGGGGTCGCGGCATTCGGAAGGTTGAGAGACACTGGTTTAGGGAGTGTTGGAAGGGGCTCTGTTAATATACCATCCAGTACTGTCACATTACTAAACTGCTGCAGAGAGTTCAACTGTGCAGAGAAAGGGAAACTATTTCTCATAGTGAAACGATGTACTTTGGATCAAGACAGTCATTCTTCTGCATTATTTGGATGATATTTCCCCTTCTTGGGAAGAGAGGAGAGGAGATTTTCACACTTTTGCACCTGATGCCTGAAGCATACCCATATGTCTTTGCTTAAGCCAAGACAACAATGGACAGAAAACCACATTCAGAGAAAGATTGACACATCAAACCAGCCATGGTATTGCTTTCCTCTCTGGGGCACCACAGTGATGCTGCCCTCTTTCATTTCTGTTGCATCCATTTCCAGATGAAAAGACATTTGCAGCTCCACTAGGGAATTATTTTGTCTCTGTATGTGATGATTCAGGGAGAATTCTTTCTTTCAAGGGTATTCCTATTTTTGTTATTTGAAGCTGTTGTATAAGGGTCTGTTTAGAAACCCTTGATGGAATGACAATGTATATCATGGATTGCACTACCACCAAGTAGCACTGCGTTTATGTATGTGAGACAGTGTACTTCAAGATTGACATTTTACCTATCAATATTTGTTTGGGCTGCGGTGATGCAGTGGGTCAAACTGCTAAGCTGTAGAACTTGCTGACCGGAAGCTCAGTGGTTCAAACCCATGGGACAGGATGAGCTTCTTTTGAAAGCCCCAGCTTCTGCCAACCTAGCAGTTTGAAAACATGCAAATGTGAATAGGCCAATAGGTATTTCTTTGGTGGGAAGGCAATGGCACTGCATGCAGTTATGCTGGTCACATGTCCTGGGAGGTGTCTATGGACAATGCCGGCTCCTCGGCTTAGAAATGGAGATGAGCACCACTCCCTAGAATTGGACTCAACTTGAAGTCAAGGGGAAACTTCACCTATTTGTTTGTTTGGTTGGTTGCATGCTGCAAGTCGCTTCTGGTGTGAGAGAATCAGCTGTCTATAAAGACCTTGCTCAGTGGACTCTCTCTGGGCACACAGAAGACTGGATGACTTGGAAGGCAATGAACAGGCTGTGTTCTGGCACCACAAGATGCAGAGCTAAACTTAAGAAATGGGGCTACAAAGTGGCGTCCACGACATGCGAGTGCAGAGAAGAGCAAACCACTGACCACCTATTACAATGCAGTCTGAGCCCTGCCACATGCACAATGGAGATCCTTCTCACAGTGACACCAGAGGCACTCCAAATGGCCAACTTCTGGTCAAAGGACATTTAGTATAATGCCAAGTTTTTAACTATGTTTGTGTTTTTAAATACATTATAACTGTACCCTCAATTTTCTTCTGACATAATAAATAAAAATCAATTTGTTTCCTTCTTATATTTCTATGCTGCCCAAAATTAACAATTGTCTGGGTAGTTTAGAAAATAAAGTCAAAATCATGACATGTTGAACAAAACTGGGCAACTTCCTGGGGTCAGAAGGTTCCTTCCACTTCTTCAAATGCTGCATCTATATCACACCAGCCATTTTTGATCCTCTGCTCTCTTCCACCACAGGAAATAAAAATAGATTGTAGGGCCTAAAATGGATTTCTAAAAACAACTCTCCAATATTTGGTTGGAATTAAGACACTTACTCTCCATTATGATTGATGTCATCATAACGTAGAAAGAGGGAAGCATAAATAGTCTCAGTTAGGAAGCTGTAGATTGCAATCATGATGAGCAGCACCGCCAACTTGAGGACAGAATTCAGGCGGAGGAACACGGCACAGGTCACCATTGCCAGAATTCCAGTGAAGACAAAATACTTAAATGAAGAAGATTGAGACAAGAAATCAGTTCAGTAATTAGGACTGGCTCAGATCCAATGACTCAGTGTCTTCGCTTTGTCTATCCATTTTCATCTCACTAGGCATTGAAAAGGGTTTTTTTAGACCATAAACTCTCAGAATCTGGGGGATTCTGGTGACCTCGAAAATAACTGTTAAGAACTTTGCACTTTTGTGGTTCTACAGTTTACTGTTAGTCTCTTCAATGCTCTCCCATACTTTTTCTTAGTATTTCATGGCAGAATATATATTCAACTCATGCCCAACCTTTATTGTCACAAGAGCCCCATGAGGCAGGTTAGACTGAAAGGCACTGAGGGTCCCAAAACTGTGATTGAGTCACTGTATGTTTTATACAAACCTAGCTCTTGCACCAGCTGTCAGTATTAACATCAAAAAGAATGTGTTATTCCTTCTAGCGTCTCCTTTTTGACCCAGGATGACAATGACAAGTATATTTGCATGTGTCATTTATGGATGACGGGAAAGCAGGCTGTGAAGATTTAGACCCCATCGTACTAAATATTATGTTCTAAATCAGAGTTTTCCAAACATTTCATGTTGTTGACACACCATTTTTATACATGCATCATTTTGCAACACAGGAATTCAGCTTGACTAGTAAATTGGAAGTTAAACCAATCCCTTATAAGAGATATGGGCACATACATAAATTCTAATAACAAAATGTATGGGGACAAAACATATCACGTGAAAATCTTTCATTTATATATGTTTTAAATATATGATTTGTTTATCTTGCAAAAACTCAGCAGTTTCTCATTATATTTGTGCAATGTACCTGCAGCCAACACACTTTTTTGTCATGTCAGGAGTGACTTGAGAAACTGCAAGTTGCTTCTGGTGTGAGAGAATTGGTCATCTGCAAGAATGCTGCCCAGGGGATGCCTAGGTGTTGTGATGTTTTATCATCCTTGTGGGAGGCTTCTCTCATGTCCCCACATGAGGAGCTGGAGCTGATAGAGGGGGCTCATCCGCGCTCTCCCCAGATTCGAACCTGCAACATGTCGGTCTTCAGTCCTGCTGGCATAGGGGTTTAACCCACTGTGTCACCGGGGGCTCCTTGCCAACTCACTAATGTCTTGGGACACAGTTTGGAAAACTCTGATCTAAAGCAAACTCTTTGTTCTAAGTAGAATAGAATAATTGAATCAATGGGAACTTGTTAAGTCAACATTCATGTAAGTTTTAGTGATTAAGTGGGTTTATTCTAGTTTGGGTTAACAGTGGTCTACTGTGATATGTTTTTCCTTATAGGAAAGCATGACTATAGTTGAAGTGGCCAAAGATTGTCATCTCAAGAAGTGCTTCCATAATAGGAAAATAATTGTTCAACAATAAATAATCTTATCTTCATCAACCCTTCATCAGTATCACTGATCCGAACTGTCTGCGCAGGTACAGGAAATACCATATGTGCGATTCACAGGGACCATGATGGGGATCTTTGGTGTGAACAAGATGGTGCTGATGTCATGATAAAATATGCTGTAAAATATAGTTTGAGTGAGATTGTATGAAAGGCGTACGAATGTGGCCTAATTGGGCCGAAGATACCATTCTAAGGAATGAGGCCTGGAAAACTACAAGAGAGAGATGAAGAACTCATGGACTGTAATTAAAAATTGCTAATGAGACCTGTGGCAAATGATTAACTGTTGACATTGCTGACTTGATGAACTCTTGGTGGAAAAACAACTTGTTTACATTGCCAAAGACAATGGTTCTTTTAAGTAAGGAAGTCAACACTATGGCTCCTTTCAGAAATGTTTTCAAGGTTCTTTGATAAGGAAAACCAATTAAACAAAATCACGATCTGTCCAGGAACTGACAGAATCTGTCTGTCAGTAATTTACAAGTTTCAGAACCACATCAACAGAAAATACTACCTAAAAGGACCCTTCTCTCTCAGAAAGACTGTGTCAGACCAACTGAACACCATTTCTGAACACCATTATGAACAGCCATCTGTTCTCAAGAAGCGGATCAACTTCACCAAGAAGAATGGTAAGAATGCTTGATGAATGAATGATTGAATGTTAGAGTATGTGTGTAAATGTTGATGCAATATCCCCCTTTGTCTATGTAACCAATATAATTATTATAAAACCCAGTACTGGAGTCTGTGTCTACCTCTTTCTCTGAAATTGCCTAATGCAACCTGTCTCACTGAAAGCGGAATAAAATAACCTATTTAATGTTTTAAAAAGTACTTATGACACTGATGACAACATAACATAAAATGCTCCCTCCTCCATACCTTTCTGTAACCACATCCCTATGGAACTATTATGCAACTGGCAAGAATATCACTCAGTGGTGTCTGGACATAAACAATACCAAATAAGTAGAATGGAAGTGCAGTTTTAGTGCAATGAGCACACTAAATAAATTGGAAAGTTTGAAATGGAAACAAACCAACTCAATTCATAATCAGATGCTATTTTTCTACAGGAGCTATGTGGGGCTCTATTTGTATGAGAGAATACCAAAATGTCACCCCTGATTTCAATATTGGAGGTCAGCTTTGGTAAAGGCAATCCCCATTACACAGATAGACCATTATGGTGATTTCAATCAAACACAAGAAGTTGTATTTCTAACATGGCATACTCATAATTACCTCGGGGTAGGAGCAAATGTCTGAAAGATATACAGAAGAGTTGAAAGTCTGATTCTTAAGGGGTGCTTGATTGTGAAAATCACACCATAGCTGAAGAAAAAGAAGGGGGAGAAGATATTAGGAGTAAAACTTAGATTGTGTTGTCAAAGGTTTTCATGGCTGGAATCGCTAGGTTGCTGTGAGTTTTCTGGACTATAAGGCCATGTTCCAAAGCATTTTCTCCTTCTGGAACATACAGTTCGGAAAACTCGCAGCAACACAAAACTTAGATTGTTGGGGTTGTTACCTTCATTAGGTAAAGAGTGAGGAATAGGAAGTATTTGTTTATTACATTTATATCTTTCCCTTTCTTTCAAAGGTGGCATATAAGATTTGATCCTCACAAAAGTTCTGTGAAGAACATCGGGCAGAAGGACTGTGATTGGCTTAAGATCACACATTGAACTTTGTGGATGTGTTGGTACTTGAACCAAACCACCCCAGTCCAAATTCAAGAAGCTTGGGTAATTTGTCTGCTGGTCTCAAAGCTCTGAATGAATGACCCATGAGGACGACAGGTATATTCATCACAGGACCCATGAGTGTTAGGGTAATGTTTGATATAGTCCTCTCAATAAACAGTGATGTAAACAATATCAAAATATATTTCTCAACGAGGATGTTAAAACATTTGTATCATTCTTTCTGAGAAAGTATTTTGATATATTGTGGCATGCCATAGCCAAATACTGCAAGATTTTTCATAATTTGGGATTTAGTTTGAAGGAGAGATGTCATTTTGTGCAAAAACTGGTTTTCTGGGGGGGGGGGGGGGGGGGTTTTTTTGTGCAGAAAAAACAAACTATGGTATTTCTTACAAACTATATGCGGGAAACCTTTGTGACTTAATATAATTTTTTATGATTCACAAATGCTTTTCTTTCTCTCTCTTCCCACCCTCTTGCCTATACCAGTTTTACTCATATCACTTAAGCCAACCTCCTTGAGTACTTACAATATTGATGACAGCTCCCAGAAAATTAATCATAATTGAGGCAAAGATGATAACATTTCGGGCCAAGTAGGTCTCATTAATCCAGCAGCAAGTTTTCCGGAGGACAAGAGGCAAACATTTGTAATCCTCTGCTGTGGTTATCAATAGAAGAGCTGAATGCAGCATAATTAGGATTGAAAACTGTACAACCATTGGTATCATCCTGAAGAAGAAAAAAAGATGCCCTTCAGAAGTGTGTGAAAAACAGATTATTATACTTGTATAGAGATAGCATACAATTAATTCAAACATACTTATGATGACATCATGGTGCATCATTCAATTAATGATTTCCTCTTTCTCTTGATTACTTCCCTTGATCGAGACACTGTATTTTTATTGATACAACAAGAATTGCATTGGTTTTTTCAGTCTCCTAACTAATGTTCTGCTTGTGGTCTACTAGGACTCATAGACCCCCTTTCCAATGTACTGCTTTCAAGCTAAGCAACACCTGCCATATACCTGTGCATTTCATTTTATTTCTGCCTTACATTTCTCCCCGTTGAAACTCATTTGATTAGTTTTGTTCAATATCTCCAATATGTTATGGTCATTTTGAATTCTGATTCTATCCTCTCAGGTATTAATTATCCCTAATAATTTGGTGTCCTCTACAAATCTGATACGTGTGCTTTAAATTCTGTCATTCATGTTACGGATAAAGATGTTGAATAGCACTGGGCTTAGGACAAACCCCTTTGGCACCCCACTGGTCACTTCTTTCCAGCACCCTTTGGGTTTGGCTAGTCAACCAATTACTAATCCACTTAATAGTAACATTATCTAGCCCACATTTTGATAGCTTCTTTACAAGAATATCACAGGAAACCTTGTCAAGGACCTTACTGAAGTCAAGCTTTACTACATCACCACTAATTCCGTCACCTACCAAGCTTGAAACTTGTAATGTGAATGTGTTAATGTAGAATTCCCAAAGCCATTATAATTGTTGTAGTTTGTGAAGAATCCGATGCTTCAGAGGATGAGGAAGGGGATTTTGTGGGGTCTCAGGAGGGGTTTTGGGGGATAGAAGTGGCATGGAGAGATGTGTTAGTGAATGTTCTGGTAGTTCTCAGGATGTAAGAGAAAGGAAAATCTGTTCCCATGGGAATCTGCAAGAGTTTCCTCCTGAGATGAATGTGGGGGAGTGAGAGTCTTTTCTTAGACCAGAATAGCTGCAGCTGTACCATGAGAGTGTGAAAGAGAGACAGACTCACTTTTCCCAGAAGATAAGCAGCGAAGAATCAGGTGTATGAGGAGTGATGTCATGGGAGGGAACTGAGGTTTTTAAGTTGGCTGAAAGCAGACAGTTCTTTGTGAGAACAACAATACATTTCAAGTGGAAACAACTCTTACATTCTATGACCTTGCTTCAAGTGTTCAACTTTTTAGATTTTGTATCTTGTTCAGGTTTTCTGGGCTAAATTTCAAGTTTCTGGATTTTAATTGCTATTCATGTCTTCATGGTTTTGGTCTGGTGTATTCTTTGTTTTGTTCTCAAGTTCTGGATAGAATTTTGATTAAGTGTATGGATTTTATCTTGTTTCACTCACCTCAAAGTTCAGTTCCAAGTTTTTGAATTCCTGTGGTTTGATTCATGGAACTGATTGACACCTTTATTCAGCAACTTTGGAGTTTTTTGGATTTCTTTTTTGGATCTTTGATTGTTCTTTTATTGTGCTTTTTCTTATATTCTATATTTTTTCTTAATAAACTTTATTATTTAGTGGATTCTATCTTCCCTGCATGGTGTCTGGGTGAAAAGGTGTTCCATAGATGGGATGCAACAATAATCATATGCTACCAGTACCCAGACTTCTGTTTTTTATTTATCTAGAACACATTTGCCAAGCCACTTCTTCACCATTCATTACACATCTGGCTCCATGATTCAAAAGTAATTACTGTAACAATTACTTTAAAGAAAAAAATTATGTTTAGTTTTACATCTCAGATTTATCTAAGTGAGTTAACTTCATATACTTAAAACCACTCACATCTAAAGGTGACATGAAACAACTTATTCATGCAATAACCTCATTGTTGCTTCAGCCCACACAACATCATATGTGGGCAGCAGCACAAGGCACAGTATGAGCCAAAACCTGAACCATTATTAACACCTTCTCCACTATTAACTAAGGTGACTACTATTTCAATTATTTTTTGAAACTCTTCTACCAAATTCTTTGCATTTACCTTGAAGAAGGAAGCAAACTTTGGATGGCGGTGATAAACACAAGGACCATGAATGCACACACCAAGTTCGACTTGAATACTTCATCCCGCATTTGGGAATACTGAAATAGAAAACAGTAGGCAAAGGGGAAAAGAAAACCTTCAGTTTTGTTTGACAGTATTATAAAGAGAGTGAGACAATGCTATAAGGCTTCAGGGAAATTAGGAAGAAGAATCGGCAAATTAATTAGCTTACTGCAGTGAGACTCTTCCCCTGCCCCCCAAATTATATTTAGAAAAATCTCTTCAGAAGTAGCATGCTGCGAAGGAGCCTGTAAAGACACTTCAGCAGGGAAGCAAATGTCAGGCATTCAATTGTGTGAAAGAGGGGTTTTTTTTGCATTAGTTTGTGCTCTCATATAATCAGCTACATTAAAATTCAATAATAGGCAGGTTATACCACACAAGTTCAAGCAACATGTGTGTGTGTGTGTAAGGGAGTAATTTGAAAGATGTATACATGACAAGGAAGGGAAGCAGACAGTCATAAGCCTATGAGATGACAATGATGGTTTGGCTTTCTGGCAAAGCAAGGGGCTGAGATAACACTAACATTTAACTTGTGTTGGAGCTTTAAAGAAACTGAATCTTGGCTCTGAAGCTCTAGAAATGGCTGCACAGAGTATCCCAAAAGCATGAATGGTGGATTGGACCAGAGGTGCAGAATTATGTTTCCAATTCTGGATTCAATCTGATGGGGGATCATTTGGTAAGGCTGAGTAGGGAATTCTGAGAACTGTAGTTTAAAAAAGATGGAAGATGTCTGGGAAAACATGGGAAGATTACAGGCAGAAGAGGATGATATCTCCACCCTTTGTATAATTCTATGCATCAGACAAGATGATTGTATAATGAAAGTAAAACTATGCAAAACTGCTTTTTACCATACAATTCCCTTGTCTTCATTCACAATAATTTACATGGAGAGGGAGTCCATATTTATTATGCTATAACCCCATTTTAAATGAATATAGTCTTCCACTTGCAATTCCTGTGTTTTCCCATGCTTCTTCCATCATCTCCCCTGTCTTCTCCAATACTGAAAGAATTAGCTGTGTAAGCCTGACTGGTAGTATAAGGGACATCTGTCTGGAAGAACTCTTAACTTAAGAAAACATTTCACCATGACTACAATAAGTTTGACTTATCTATTATGCTAGATGTCTCTGAGAGGCTTAAAGGTAGAACACAGGAGAGCAGATATGTTGGACAACAACTCCTTAACATTGACACTGCTGTCTAAGGCTCATGGGAGCTGTAGTTCAACCAGATCTAGAGAAGCAGAACTTGTCCAGTCTTGCAACACCTCTAGAATCATAGAATCATAGATTTGGAAGAGACCTTGTGGGCCATCCAATCCAACGCCCTGACAAAAAGGAGAAAAATCACATTGAAAGCATCCCCGACAGATGGCCATCCAGTCTATGTTTAAAGGCTTCCAAAGAAGGCACTTCTACCACACTCCAGGGCGGAGAGTTCCACTGCTGAACAGCTCTCACCATTAGGAAGTTTTTCCTAATGTTCAGGTGGAATCTCCTTTCCTGTAGTTTGAAACCATTGTTCCATATCCTAGTCTCCGAGGCAGCAGAAAACAAGCTTGTTCCCTCCTCCCTATGACTTCCCCTCACATATTTATAATTGTTTTAAAACACTGTCAGATCCTATTTTCCCCTTTTTATGCTGTTCTCATGTATGACTTGGCACAATCACAGTGATGGGATTGAGCCAATGAAGTGCACCATCTAAAACAAAGGCTACTGTGCTCTTTCAAGTCATCACTGTAGACTGGCATCTTTGAAGAGTGGAGAAACAAGATTTTTGCTCTGTTATGGAATAATTGACCAAGAGATTTCATTCTTACCTACCTATCCCCCCCCCCTCTCTATATATATACTAGCCGTCCCCTGCCACATGTTGCTGTGGCCCAGTCTGTGTATATGTGTTTTGTGTGTCTATATGTGTGTCTATATATTTGTGTCTATATGTGTGTTTGCATATATGTGTGTGGTTTTGCGCAAGCATTGTTCAGTCCCCATGAACACCTCTCTCACAAATGTACCTTTTTCATTGCTATCTTATCCAAAGTTTTACCATTTTATGTTGTGCATTTGGCCTGCCCACTGTGTTTGATTTTCCTTTATGTTATTTTGTACTGTTTATTTACTTGATTGGTTTATTTATTGTAACTGTTATGTTATTTTGTTGTTTATATTTTATGTTGCTGTAATGTAATGTATCATTGGGCTTGGTGAGTTCCCTTTGGGGAGATAGTGGCAGGGTATAAATAAAGTTTTTTATTATTATTATTAATGTAATTTTTGTTTTTTGTCTTTTTAAGTCCCTTCCACTGTGTTTTTCAGTGTTTTTATGAGTGATGGTCACTCGTTGGCCTGATAAGTGTCTTGTGTCCAAATTTGGTGTCAATTCGTCCAGTGGTTTTTGAGTTATGCTAATCCTACAAATGAACATTACATATATAGTAATGAACATTACATATAAAGTTTGGTGACATGGTAGTTATGGGAAAGGTATATAAAAATGACACAGGATGCAAAGAGACAAAAAGCACAACATTAAACAATGCAAGATAAAACATCCGCTTTCATTGTCGGCTACCAGGCAATGAAAACAGATACATATGGGAAGTGTTAAGTAGACCTTGGAAAAAGCTATATTTCGTGGACTACAGCTGCCAGAAACCCCACTGACCATGCTTGGCAAAGGAATTTGGGGAGTTGTAGTTCAGAAAAGCAATTTTCCAAAGATTGAATGTCAATATGAGAAGTCCCAATTTGCCTCTGATAACAAATCCTACCCTGCTGCAAATATAAGCATCTATGAAAGCTATTCTGCTAGGAACATTTCACATAGCCATTCTACCAGCTGGTATTTACAATTCATCATTTTTATAGAAAACATAGTCATTCTAATCTGGCTCCTAGAAATTGAACTGGGGAATGAAATCCATCACAGACATTTAACGCAGCCAAGCTATCAATTGAAATTTGATATCCATAATTTTAAAGCAAAAGAGATCAAAACAAAACAAGCCAAATACACACATCACTCATTATGGTATGATATGGTCTGATCTCTGGAGATTGAACTTGAGTTATACGAGAAAGCACAGAAATGGGATTTCTTTTAAGAAATATATGACATGTTTATAAGCTTGAGGACATTATCTATTCTCCAAAATGAATTTACTTTCATCAGGCTTCATTTTGTTTCCAACATTTCACTAAATAATTGGATTAAGGGACTAGGATGCATTTGCAAGAGTGCAAGACTGGCTGTGAGGGATGTCTTCAGAAAAAATAAAAATAGAAAATCCAGGCAGAAATCTAAGGAGTGGGGACAATAGAGGATAAGGGATACCTTTTCTCCATTCCTCCATGCAAAGCCGGCCAAATTATTTTGGCATAACAAGGAAAAACAAATCCATACAATCAGCTTTCCCCAGTCAAATAACAAATTATATTACAAACAATTTGCTGCTGCTTCTTGACATTCAAAAACTGCTGCCTGAGATGGTTTCCTAAATTTGTTTAATGAAGTGATCAATTTTGGATGGCAGTCCACTAGGTAGCACCTAATCAGGTCGGATTTACGTGTGATCTTCTCCAAGTTTTGGTTTGACCTTAAAATGAGCTATCCAGAGTGCTGAACCAGAGCGACAAAAAAAGTATTTTGGATAGTTCCTTTTAAGTCTTAGGCCCCTTCTACACTACCATACAATCCAGAATTACCAAATAGATAATCCACATTATCTGCTTTGAACTGGATTACAGCAGAGTCTTGCTTATCAAACCTGCACTCATCCAACATTTTGTATTATCCAAAGCAGTATGCCTCCCACCCAGATCCACAGCTGTTTCAATACATTGTGATGTTTTGGTGCTAAATTTGTAGATACAGTAATTACTACATAATGTTACTGCATATTGAACTGCTTTTTCTGTCGATTTGTTGTAAAACATGATGTTTTTGTGCTTTAATTTGTAAAATCATAATGCAATTTGAGGTTTAATAGGCCTTTCCTTCGCCCCTCCTTATTATCCAACATTTTCGCTTATCCAACTTTCTGTCAGCCTGTTTATGTTGGATACATGAGACTCTACTGTATATGAGCCTACACTGCCATATAATCCAGTTCCAAGGAGATAATCTGGATTTTATATGGCAGTATAGAAGGGGCCTTAGTGTGCATTTACAATGCCAAATTAATGCAGTTTGACAACACTTAACTGCCATGGCTCAATGGTATGGAATCATGGGAGTTATAATTTGGTGAGGCATCAACACTCTTTGGCAAAAAAGGCTAAAGGTCTTGTAAAATTACACCTCTCATTAATCCATAGCATTGAACCATGGCAGTTAAAGTGGTGTCAAAGTGCATTAATTCAACAGTGTCAATGCACCCTTAGTCTTTAAAACCTAAAGTGGATTTCTTATCCCACTAGTATGGAAGCCATCAGTTCCATGGGTGTACGGTCAGTAACTCCTTTCTTCCTCATTATGTCTGTCTCACCCAGTGTGCCCTTTTTCCTGCTGCAGCCTATGCAGGTATTTTTCATTCTTTACTGGGACAACACATCTTTTTTCTTCCCAAAACAGCTTGTCAGCAACACAGCTTCTCCTATTCTTATGCTGAGAGTTATCTTTTCTCCACATCTACAAACCAATTGCTCTTTACTTCTGTCATTAGCCTGCCTTAAAATCATAGAATCATAGAGTTGGAAGAGACCTCGTGGGCCATCCAGTCCAACCCCCTGCCAAGAAGCCTTCCCCATCCTATATTTTCTATTGTAGATCTGTAAGTTTGACTTGGCTACTCTTAATCTGGTCTCCTTGCCCTAAATTTTACTAATTCTTTTCATTCACTATCATGGCTACTTAACAGGTCCTGTTCTTGGAACTATTACAAACAATGAAAACAATGACGTAATAACCAACTAAGGTGCCACATCTTTCATTCCTGTGTAGAAGAGGAAATTTCAGCAAACATTACTTGCATAAGCATCTGCACTTGTGAAAATTCCTTATATTGGAGGTGGGGGGGGGGGGGCGTTTCAGTTAGCATTTGATGGACTGACAGTTTTTAGGTGTGGCTTATTAGTGCCTGGGGGACTCCTTTGTTGTGATGTGATTAGCTGTCCCTGATTGTTTCTTGTCTGGAGTTTCCCTGTGTTTGAATGTTGTTCTTTATTTGCTGTTATAATTTTAGAGTTTTTTTTTTAAATACTGTAGCTGTTGTGACTCAGCTGGAACCAGAGACACAGACTAATAGTGTTGTGACTCAGATGGGGTCTCAGAGTGACTCTGATGGGGATTATGGAATTCAGGTTCACAATCAGGTTCAAAATGTTCCTGTTATAGACAATGAGGAACAGGGTGTGCAAGTTCAGTTTCTAACAGCTGGGAATGATTTTTTTGATACTGAAACTAGCCAGGTGCAAATTGACTCAGAAAAGGAGGACAGTTCTCAGTCAGCCTGATAGTAGGCAGGAAGGCAACCAGGCTGACACTAACGAGCAGCCTAACCTTGAGGAAACGGGAATCTTAGATTGGGCTGACCGTTTGGAATTCAGAGTTCGAAGGAGTGTGAGAATAGCCAACAAGAAGGAGGTCAGAGGCCAAAGAAATGCTTTCATGTATTGCAAAGGGTATTAAGCAGTGTGTTTCAAAACAAACCTTTGTCAGATCAACTTCTTGCTCAACCAAGCAGTTTGTGCTCATTTTCCTGTGTCCATGGTCTTGGGATTTTGTCATGTTCTCATAGGACTTTGTTTTGTTGGTGCCATTTGAAATTCTGCTTTACAGTGCTATATTTTATTGATCTTTGAAACATTATTTGCTTTTTAAACTTTTCATCTTTACTTTTTAATAAACTACAAAAACTTCAGTCTGTGTGCAGTTCTGGTGATTTTAGCAAGGTGAATCTATTCTGGGGTGCAACAGTAGCCAGATTTTGTTCATTTTCATTATTTCGTCCTTTGTGTTTTACTTGTCCATATGCTTGTGGATTTCAATGGCTTCCCTGTGTAGTCTGACCTAGTGGTTGCTAGAATGGTCCAACATTTCTGTATTCTCAAATAATATGGCCATAGCAGAGCACCTGATGAACCAACCTGAACATAGCATATTATTTGAGAACACAGAAATGCTGGCCAAGGTGGCCAATTGAAACATTCACACCTTCCTCCAACAGACAAGAGTTCTTTCCTGATCACTGGCTAGAAATGATGAAAACTGGAACATCTTGAAGGCATCATGTTGGGGAAGACTACTCCTGATAGACATTCCACAGATAAATAAACTCAATTTTCCTAGTTTGCAATAGATCTCACAACCTCTGAGGAAGCCAGCCACAGATGCAGGTGAAACGTCAGGAGAGAATGATTCTAGAACATGACCATATATCCCAAATAACCTACAAGAACCCAAAATCAGATGTGTTCCTGTCTAATATGGAGTCCTTCTTATGTAATGTTCATGAACATTCACTGAAAGACAGCAATTACAGCAATTTTAACACAGTATAATATAGCCAAATTATAATGAAACGAAGTGGAAAAGCATATTGTTTGGCTGGTCCCTGTGGGTCCTCCCCTCCCTGCATCATTCTGTTTCTTCTGGCTGGAAAGCTTAGTCACTTTTAGAAGGGATTTCCTGACTGTGGAAATGAGTCACCACACTTAACATAACTATTATATCCACAGCATATGCAAACAGCTTTTTAAGATTAGTATTGAGGATCACGGGGTGGGTAGGTAGGGGGGAGAAGGTAAATTAGAAAGGAAAACCACAACAATGATGTCTTTGCTAAATCACTGGTTAATTGAAGACAGTTTTGAGTTGTCAAAAAGCATCTATCAAGACCCAGCTACCTTATGCTCCAGGCTAGAGTCTTTAAACATCAGGGAGAAAGGCTTGATATGCTCTCTTCGCAATTTATCGCCACTCCGCAAGTCGATGGTGTGCTCTATTCGCTTGTTAATTTCCTCAGGCCCAGACTGGACATGCAAAGCTTGCGCAAGATGGTTTGGAAGCAGATTTATTGAATTTCTTGTTAGGGCAGCCAGAGTCTAGGGGAAAGCACATGCAAAAAGAATAAACCTGCTAGTCCCCTTTGGGTTAAAAATGCAATCCTTTCCCCCTCCTATTCCTTTTTTTTTTTTAAAAAAGAGATCCTGTTGCATTTGCAAACCGTAAGAGCATTCCATGCAGTTCATTCATCACAGATGACCAAATGTTCTTAGAAGGAGACATTTGAACCACAAAATGCGCACAAGTGGAATGTTTGAATTGCATGTTTGGAATAGGCTTTGAGGCTCAAACCAATTCCATCAATACAGCCATTCATTTTCGAGATTTTTTAAAATACTGAATCAGTGGTAGCTGATGTCAATGGGACAGCAAATCTATTCCAGGTTTTTAGTTTTGCATTTGGGCTTGAAACTTTAGACCAGGGGTTCTCAAACTTTTTAAACAGAGGGCCAGGTCACAGTTCCTCAAACTGTTGGAGGGCCGGATTATAATTTGGAAAAAAATATATGAATGAATTGCTATGCACACTGCACATACCTTATTTGTAGTGCAAAAAACACTTTAAAACAATACAATAATTGAAATGAACAACACCCCCTACCAACCCCAGAGATCCCTCCATTCTGAGGACGAAGATCTATTGGAAATTCCCAGTGTTAAAACCTTGCGTCTAACAGCAACCAGATGCAGAGCCTTTACAGCAGTGGCACCATCACTCTGAAATACTCTGCCACCTGAAGTCCATGCCTTGCGGGACTTACCAGCTTTCCACAGGGCTTGTAAGACATACCTGTTTCGACAGGCCTTTGATTTTTGATATGGTTGTTCTTAAATTGTTTTAAATTGTTTTTAAATCATGTTAGATTTTAGCCGCTCTTGTAAGCCGCTCCAAGCCCCAGGGGAGTGGCAGCATATAAGTTTGAATAATAAATAAATAAATAAATTTTAAAAATATATAAACTTATTAGTATTTCAATGGGAAGTGTGGGCCTGCTTTTGGTTGATGAGATAGGATTATTGTTCTTGTTGTTGCTGTTGTGTGCTTTCAAGTCATTTCAGACTTAGGTTGACCCTGAGCAAGGTCCGGGCAAATGACTTTGGAGCACCGTATCCGCCCCCCGGGCCTTAGTTTGCGGACCCCTGCTTTAGAAAGCCTCTTCAAAGTTCACACTAAAATGCAAAATGCATTCACCATTGTATTCACTTGGAGACCACCAGCTGCCACTGCACTGAACTGGTGTTCACATTTTGCAAAGTATACAGCTGTGTTATGCAGCAACCCAAGAAGCCCATCAAAACATTTTCCCAAGCAGTGGCCACAAGATGGTATCCTAGCACAAAAGCAAATGGACTGCAATAGAATGTAAACTATTTCCCAAAAGTAAAGACAGTGTTTGTATATGGGAGAAAGGTCAGAATGTCACCTCAGCCCAGAGATGAATATATCGATCTATGCAAACATGCTAAGGTGCAGTCTTGCTATGCAAAGAAATGTGTGCTTGTTAGCAGCATCGTATTCTGTTAGGCTGAAGAAGAAACTGTCCCAAATAAAGGAAAACTGCCTGTGCATCAAAACTCATGCAAATTTAAGAAGAACCTTACTGGATAGGCCAAAGGCCTCTTTAACTCCTCACTCTGCTAACAGTGACCAATGAGATCCCCCAATAGGAAGCCCACAAACAGAACATAAAGCAATAAAACCTGCTTACTTTCCCAACAATGGCTATGGAGTGGCATACAGTCGCTGAGATATGTGTAGTACATAAATGCCTTCAAGTTGCCTGTTGTTTTGTGGTGATCCCATGAATTTCATTAGAGTTTTCCTAGGCAAATAATGCTCAGAGATAGTTTTACTAGGACTGGGCTGTGGCACAACTAGCTGATATAATATAAATGGGTTCCTGAATATGTGCATACAACAAAAATACCACTTATACATAAAGTAAACAATAACAGAATTCAGCAAGCAGTTATATAGACATGTTGTACTGTTCAATTTCACAGTGATGTCAAACAATATTATGCAAATTTTGGTACAGTCTCTTTAGAATAATATCAATGTCGTATCTTCTTATGTTGAGTAGCTTATGGATCAGCCCCCCACGACCGGTTTCGGCCTTACTTCAGGCCTTCTTCTGGTGGAAAAGTTATACACTTGAGAATTTGTTCTCCTTAGGAGATACAGGGTTTTTGCTCAGTGGTATGTGATACTCTGCTGTATGTTAAGTACTCGCAGCCAGAACTTAACATACAGCAGAGTATCACATACCACTGAGCAAAAAACCTGTGAAATTGAACAGTACAACATGTCTATATAACTGCTTGCTATAGTCTGTTATTGTTTACTTTATGTATAAGTAGTATTTTTGTTGTATGCAACTAGCTGATAACCAGCTGCAATAAATCACTACTGACTGAGGGGTCACGAATTTGAAGCCAATCCAGTCGGAGTGAGTTTCTGGCCATTAGTCTAGCTTGCTGTTGACCTTTGCAGCCTGAAAAACAGTTGCATCTGTCAAGTAGGAAATTTAGGTACCGCTTTATGCGGGGAGGCTAATTTAACTAATTTACGACACTATAAAACCTTCCAGCAGTGTGCAGAAGAACGAGGAAGTACTCCATCAAAGGGCTCGCTATCGCAAATGGACAGTGAAGCAGCAGCTCCCGCTGTGGCTGGAATCAGGCCAGAATCGAGCCCTCATGAAGCCGGACACCTGGAATGTTAAAAATTGCCTTTGTGTCTGTCTATATATGTTATACGTCTAATTGGCCTTGAATGTTTGCCATGTATATGTGCATTGTAATCTGCCCTGAGTCCCCTACTGGGTAAGAAGAGTGGAATATAAATACTGTAAATCAATCAATAATAAACCCAAACAATAATAAATAATAGTTCCTTCATTGGTGATAAAATGCAGCTATTGTGACTGATAGTCATTCTCTTCTCCATAAATATGCCTATTTCCCTGTCAGAACAACAATCTCTTTGGTCTTCAACTTCCAGATATCCTAACAGCTGGTAAACTGGCTGGGATTTCTGGGGGTTGTAAGCCAAAAACACTGGGGACCCACAAGCGGAGACCCATTGGGCTATAACAATGTAATATAAGGATGTGCATTATATAACTGGGTGAGTGGGAAATGCTAATTCCTAATTTTTTACAAATTGACCAAAATTAAATGTGGTGCTAGTGGAGAGATAAATGGATACATAGACTGCCAAAAAAGAGCAAATCAATTCTCCCTAGATGACTAAATGAAGACTGTCATACTTGGAATCTATAATGAGTAAACATGACATATTGGAAAAGATAATAATTCTTTCCCCCCCCCCCCCTCCTTCTTTTTTCTTTCTCCCCGCCCAACCCTCTCGCATTTATTTTATCTTATTTAATTGATTTTCTTTATTTGTGTGTCAAGGTTGTCTATGTCATTCTGATTTTTTTTAAAACAGATAATAATTCTTGGTAAGGTAGAAAGCAATAGGAAAAGAGGAAGACTACATGACAGGTGAATAGACTCAATCAAGGAAGTCATGGCTCTGAATTTGTAAGTCCTGATAATTTAGAGGTCTCTCATTTATAGCGTGATCATGGCAAGTAATAACAATATTTTCCTATAAAAGCTAAAGATTCTATAAACTAATTATAGTTATTCCTATTTTTTTTATTTTATTTTTTAAAAATGGAGGATGTTGGACCACTGATTGCCCAACTGGACAGGATCTAGATTGGGGGTGTCCAATTTATTTGGCTTCCCTGCACCACATTGGGTCACACATAAAATACATTAACACTAAAAACAGCTGATAAGCAGAAGAAGAAGAAGAAGAGGAGGAGGAGGAGGAGGAGAAAGAAAAGTGTTTCTACATATTTTTATGATATCTGCCACAACAGAGAAGCAGAAAAAATCTTAATTATGTGCCACCTCAATCACAGGGTCTTTTAAAATCATCTAGCAGATCACATGTATGCAATCAGAAAAACTTCATTAATTTCAAAATTATTTTATTATAAAAGTAAAAAGAAAGAGGGCAACATGAAACTAGTGGGATATTTGACATTATTTTTGAGGAACTAATGCATCAATATTTGATTCGAGGGAAATAGGTGCAATTTCCGAATAACAGACAAACTGAATTGGAAAATGACCCAGGAACGGCCCAAGACGATGGAACGGATAAGGACTTGAATGTGAGGATATAGTTTTTGGTTTTTAAAATTGTTATGATGCACTGTTTTTATGTCTAATTGCACTATAATGTTCTTTTGTTTATCAATGTATGTATTTTATGGCATCGAATTGTGCCGACTGTGTACGCCGCTCTGAGTTGCCTTCGGGCTGATATGAGCAAGGTAGAAATAATCCAAATAAATAAATAAATTATCAGTCAGTTTTGGACCCCATTAATGGCCCACGGACTAGATCAAGCTTTGAAAGGTGTACAAAAGGAAATTGAAAATAACTTATGTTTTGATTGACTGTGACCATCTTGCTGCATTGGGAACACCAGAGTACGTTATAAAAACATTTCACTATGTTAGAGTGTCACATCGAATAAATCACAACTGTTGCCATTCCTGCTGCAACATGTTTAATGGGCTGCCTTCTCACTAGTAAGGATTCTGTCTAAGTAAAATGGTCCCAGAGTCCCTGCCAAAAACTACACAGTGAATCTACCACCGCAAAAATTAACCTCCCTTCCTTTGATAGCCACGTGGGACATGTGGTGTTTCTCCTGTTGCTTTCAAGGTGCTTGACAGTACACTAGGAACTTCCTCAGATTAACTAACTGGAAAACATAGAATACTTCTATTCCTATTACTATCTTCAAGAGGCTGTGAAGCCCCTTTTTAGTAGATGGGGAAACTGCATGGCCCTGCTTGTGGTTATAACATTAGAAGTTGATTACTCTTCAGGCATAGTAGGGTGATAGAGGTTGGATATAAATGATAGTGGGTATGTTAGGATACGATTTTGCAGATATCCACATTCTACACAATGGTGCCCCAAAATGTCATCTCAGAGCAAAACCTAT